CAGAATATTTAGTATACATGCCTGCCTGCCTGTTCTTCCTTCCATCATATTTTGGTTTCTTTGATGACCCAACTAGTCCTCTAACAGATTAGTTTGGTGGATAAAAGGATGACAATATTACCCATTAAACTATATCAACCATGAGCTATGATTTTTGCTAACGAATGCTAATGGTTTTGTTACCTATTATTTATACTTATAACAGACCACTTCCTCCCAGGGAGAGTGGTTCAAATGGAAAGTGGTCTTATGCTATGTCAGAGAAACTGAGCTCTAATCCCAGATCTGTGTCTCACTTTTATTGTCTGTAGCAAGGATATTTTGCTGTCACTGAACAATTTTTGAGGATAAAACAAAAGTATGTGAAAATATTTTGAAACATGTAGAATACTATACCATGCAAAGATTTTTCTTCTTGGTCATTTTCAATAGATTTGCTATATTATGTATTTTTCTTACACTGAAATCTATAGCATTATCTTAGATTTTATCAAAAATATTCTGTGATATTCACATTCATCTATTTTCTGAGTATATAAATTGTTGAAGCATGACCATAGCACCTTTCTATTTGACAGCAGATTTGACTTCAGATAAATGAGATACATTTCTAATATTTTTGTATTAGTATCCTAATGTTACTTCAGAAGCATTATATTTTCAAATGGCCCATAAAAGTTCCTAAAAGTTTTTTTTTCATTTTCAATTTTTATTTGAGAATTTCTGCTTGTTTGTTTATTTATTTATTTATTTTTATTAGTTACACATGACAGTACAATGATCTTTACATATCATACATTTGAATCAAATAGGGTATAATTCCTCATTTTTCTGAATGTACAGTTTGCCAGGATATATATGAGTTATTTACATTGAAATGAGTATGAATTTTTAGAATATTTTATAATCATTATTGTTATGCTATGATTATTTGAAAAATATAGTTGTAGAGAGTCTCCAAATGTATGCTCACATACTAAAAATTTTCAAGAAAGTAGAGGAATATATTTAAAAATTTACTATATTCTATAAACAAATGTTACTCTTTTGTTCATACTTTCCTAATATAGAGGGATTTATATATTTAGTCAAAGAACATACTTTTTACAATTAACTTTTACTACATATTAATTTATACTCTTGATAGAAATCAGAATGAAAATCTAGATCTAACTGTACTGTGTTTTGATTGGTTATAGACGGATGCCTTCTTCCTAGAAGCTGTACACCTTGGAGATTTGTACAAGATTGTAATTGGCCACAATGGACTTGGCCCAGGTAAGGCTCTTCCACAGAGTTAATGAAGGTCTGGTTCTACTCTATTTATGTGAAATCTTATACAAGACTTGAAAATAATGTGTGAAAGTTGTAGGAAACAAACTTCCAAGTATGGACTGTGTGAAATAAAAATATTGGCCCCAAATGTCTTTTAAAATAGATGTGTTTCTCTTCAAGATGACATAGGCTTGGCTAAGTTGATGGATAGGCCTGGATTGCTAGAAAAATCGATTCAAAGAAATAGAAGGAATTTGGGATTTGTATGCGGTGGCAATAGCAGTGTTCAGCACACCAGTGGAAGCAGCCGTAGGGTCACTTGGTGGTGATATCCCTGGAAGGCTGGTGATTGTCCAGTTGTGGTACCTTAAGGAGGCCTCAGAGGTGTCTCCTGCTGCCATCTTGCTCATATTTCATCCCATGTTTCCTCTCAGCTTTGTTAGAATCCGTTTTCCTTAAAGCAGCCATGACATACACAGACTCCATTGACAAAGCAGAGCGCTAAAAGGGACATACCGAAAAAGGATAAAAAACAAACAAAACAACTAACACAATAACAAACTTATTGACTAAAATGTATCAAGGTATGATTTTCATGTTGAGAATGAAATTCCCCGGCTGGGGTTGTGGCTCAGTGTTAAGGTGCTTGCCCAGCATGTCTGGGTTCGATTCTTAGCACCACGTATAAATAAATGAACAAAATAAAGCCCAACAGCATTTCTTTGCTGAGTGTGGTGGTACATACCTGTAAATTCAGCTCTCAGATGGCTGAGGCAGGAAAATCACAAGTTAAAGGCTATCCTTCAGTAACCGTACCCCCCCTCAAAAAAAAAAAAGAATAAAAGAAATTCATTTCTTATAGCTCTGTGGTTCTGGAGGTTCTCTAGTCTGGGAAGTCAAGATCAAAGTGAAGGCAGGGGGGTTGGAATATGGGTCCATGTGAGACTGCTTGGTATTTAGGAGGCCCAGCACAACAAAAAAATAAAAGCAAAAAAGAAAGAAAGAAAATGTAGGCACAAAATTATACGTGTACTGAACATGTGTATACAATTTTTTTGTTGTTATTCCTAGAATGATATAGTATCATAACTCTTTATATAGCATTAACCTTGTATTTAGTATTATATCTAGAGATGATTTAAAGGATATGGGAGGATATGTGTAGGCTTCACGTAGATACTGTACCATTTTATACATAGGACTTACGCATCCATCAAGTTTGGCATCCTTGTTGGGTGGTGGTCCTAAAACCAATCCATCAGGGATAACATGAGATATGTATCCACTTTCTAGATTTCCTTCAGAAGGTGGTGGGGAGAAAATTCTTTGAACAGATTTAAATGAATAGGAATATAAAAATAAATTTTCTCCTTCAAACCTGTGGATTTCTAGTATTTTCAGCATAGAGAATACATGACTGACTATTAGGAATAATAATGTGATTTATGAAGTTCAAAGGTATATTCAAAACCTCACTTCCACCAGTGTTGTTCTGTAGAAAACCCAGTTTTCTCCTACTACACTCTTAACATAAAACACTTCTCTTACCAAATGAGTGGGATTTTTGTTGTTGTTTTCTTCAACAGAAATTTCCTAGTGGATACCTATCAGGTGTCTTACCGCTTAATTCAATTCTGACCCTATCTACCTGGGGTTAGTTACCCCAGAGTTTAAGGGCTTAGCTCTTTGAGACTGCCCTTATCTCACATGCTAATTTCAAGTCTGGGCCTCAAAAATATCAGACCAAATGTTTACAATCAAATGGTTATAAATTGTGGATTCCCTGGAGTCTCTTCAGTGATTTGCTAGAGTAACTCACATTACTCAGGGAAACACCAACCTTTACTGGTTTATCATAAAGGATATTATAAAGGATACAGAAGAACATCTAGATGAAAAGGAACAAGGACTCAGATATTTGGGAAGAATCCATTCCAGGTACCTCTCCTTCCTGGTAACTCTGTATGTTCAGCAACCTTGGAAGCTTCCTAAACTCTCTTCTTTTGGATTTTATGAAGGCTTCATTACATATGTATGATCAGTTAAATTATTGGACATTGATGATCGGCTCATCTTTCAATCTTTTTTCTCTGTCCCGGAGGTCTGAAAGTGGATTTCTCAGGAGATCAATCCCCATTCAGGGGCTCTATACTATCAATCATATAATAGCATATTAAAAGATCTCGCTTTTGGAGATTCCAAGAATTTTAGTGTAGAATCTGTGTGCCAGGAAACATGGAAGAAGAACAAAATACACATCCCTTATTATAAATCATAATATCACAAGTGATTAAAGAATGAATAAAAGAAGAGAATTTGTGAATTGAGTAGATATTGTTACTATAGAGGTTGATGGTTATTTTCTTTTAGGACTGGAAACACATAATTGCAAACCCTCCTGGCTTTTAGAGTTTGTGCTGAGACAGAAAGTTATTCTGATTGCCTTGCATCTAAATGTGACCTGATGCTTTTCTCTGGAGTCTTTTAAAATTCTACCCTTGTTCTCTATGTTAGGCATATTAATTATAATATCTTGTTGGGAGTTTCCTTTTTGATCTTTCTCTTTGGGATTTTGAATGCCTCCTATATTTGGATGTTCATCTCATTTTCAAGTTTTAGAAAATTTTCTGTTATTATTTCCCTAAAGAGGTTTTCCATTCCATTAGCCTATATCTTATAACCTTTCTCAATTTTGATGATTCTTAAATTGGGTCTTTTAAGATTATCCCAGAGTTCTTGTATATTCTGATCATGATTACTTCTTTTCTTTTATTCTGTCTGAATGTTCAAGGATTTCCACTTTTTCTTCCAGCTCTGAAATTCTATCTTCAGCCTAGTCTACTGTATTAGAGAGTTTCAATTGAAAGTTTTATTTGATTCATTGTATCTTTAATCCAGTATTTTTGTTTGGTTATTTTTTAATATTTCTGTCTCCTTGAATTTCTCATTCATGTCCTGTAATGACTTCCTTAATTCACTCAGTTGTTTTTATGTGTTCTCTTGGAATTCATTGATCATTCATATGAATCTTTAAAATTTTTTGTTGATATTTCCTCCACTTCAGCATCTTTGGGGTTAGTTTCTGGTGAAGTATGAACTTTATGAGATGTTGTGTTATCTAGTTTTTAAGTATTTCTTGTATTCCTGTGATGGATTTTATGCATCTTTTAGGAAGGATTTCTCTTCCTCTATTATGTGTTGACCTTTTTAGGGTGTAGACTTCTTTTGCCAAAGTGTCCTTGAGTAATCTAGGTGAGACCCCCCCCAACTTGTAAGTGTGGTATCCATAGGCTTTGTGTTTTTATTATTATTATTATTATTATTATTATTATTACTATTTTGGTAATAGTGGATGTCTATGAGTGGGACCAGAAGATCTGTCTATATCCTACTTGGGGCCTAGTCATTGGTTTGGGTTTTTGTCTCTTTTATTCTTTGTATTAAAGTACAGTTGAAGTTTGTGTATGATTCATTTGTATGTAGAGCAAGGTGTATTATCTTTTGTCTAAGTTCAGTTCAGCAGCAAAGTCTCTTCCTTGTGAATTTGTAGTGTCCTCGTAGGTTCTCAGCACCTCACAGAATAGAGAGAAACAAACAATCCTAACAACTGATGCAAGCAATATGCAGCCTTAAAATAAATACCCAATTCCTACTGTGAGATCTATAACATGAATTCCCTCAAAAGCAAGAAAGGGGAGGTCAGCAATTGTCAATAGCAACAAAACAATCAACAACCATGAAGTAGATCTGGCTTTAAAGCATATACAACAGGTGTCATGTCATCCACAGCAGTAATAATGGCAACAGCATGAATGGTGAGGGCAGGGGTTATATAAATCAATTACTTCCAAGAGATGGGGAAAATGTAGTTAAGAGAAAGGAATATGTGATAAGAAGATAGAAAAGAGTTTACAGTGTTAAAAAGGTGACAGATAGAGGGATGTAGTAGTTTATGGTTATAAGGAAGGAGGAGGGAAAATAGGGAAAACAATATAAAGGGAGAATCAAGGAGAGGAATCATCTCCAATGAGGTAGTCGAAATAAGAGAATAGACGGTAACTGCCTATGCCCAACTGTCCTTTTCATTTCTTCTTGGGCTATAAACAGAGAGGGGATGGGGCAATAAGAACACAGTTTTTTTTTTAACCCCTTCTTCTTTTATTGCTCAATAAACAGCCTAAGACTGAAGCAGGTTGAAATAACTCTCAGCTTCCCTCCTGTCCAGTGTAAGGTAGGGTGGAGGGGGAGGTACTGACAATTGGAGTTCTGTTTGCACAGACCAGATCAATGCACTCCCAGGATGGGACTGCAGCAGGGTTCTATGAGTGGAGTTCCTGTCATTGGTGCTTAGGTCTAATCAGGCCTTAGGGTCTTTTTTTTTTTTTTTTTGGTATCTGCTCTACGGAGACTAGATCAACAGACCTGTAGGGCCCAAAGTTGCCTATCTCTGCTGGGATTCTGGATCTCAGGAACCTCCAGGAAGTCTGATCCTGGGGCAGGCGAGCCAATCCTCTATACGCTCTGCTGCCCCCAGAGTCTTCCCAGGCTTAGTCCCTGAGTGGATTCTTATCCACCTCTTCAGATTTCCAGCCCTCTCCTGCTGATCACATGAATGGCTAGACTCAAAGAAAATGCTGAGTTGGGCTCCCTTTCTTTTTTTCTGACTTGAATACCCCCGGGTACAATCTCTCTGTGCCTAGTTAACTCTCCTCTGCTGTGTACACCCTAGGCCACAAGGTAGGCACTTGTTGGTGCGATATGGCAGCGTTTGCTGTGATCTCTAGGATCCCACAGCAGTAGCTACAGAACGGCTACCTCAAGATTACTGATGCCTGCAGCTTTCTGCTTGCCAGTTGAGAAATACAGAGCACTTTTCGTACACTCATTCATGGTGCAGCCTCTGGATCAGCTAAGTAAGTTCAGGCTGCTTTTCTGATCTTAGGATTTTCCTTACCAAATCTTTTCAATGGGTTTTCCTCCCTCTGTGTCATTCCTGTGTTTGGTGGACACCCATCATGTGT